TGTAATGTGTTGATATTGACAGGTGGTTGTAAATATATTAATTATTATTTTGACTTTATAATTGATGGTTTTTTTGATTTTTGATGTGGTGAATTTATTATAAGGATGGATGGTTATTTTGGGCGTGTAATGTGTTGATATTGACAGGTGGTTGTAAATATATTAATTATTATTTTGACTTTATAATTGATGGTTTTTTTGATTTTTGATGTGGTGAATTTATTATAAGGATGGATGGTTATTTTGGGCATGTAATATGTTGATATTGACAGGTGGTTGTAAATATATTAATTATTATTTTGACTTTATAATTGATGGTTTTTTTTTTTTTTAGATTGGATTGGTATATTAAAATTGATTGGATGGACATGAATTATGTATTAATTGCAAATGTATTATAGGTATTACAAAAAATTTAGCATTATATTTAAAAGAATCAATTTTGAAATTAAAAGTTTTTTTGCGACCAATATGTTTTTAGTCGCAAAAAGCTTCTAGGAATTGCTAAATACACCCTTTCTGTGACCAACAAGATTCTGGTCGCCAAAAGTCCGCTTTTCGCGACCAAAAATTTCGTCGCCAATGCTCACTTTCTGCGACCAGAATTATTCTGGTCGCCAAAAGTCCACTTTTCGCGACCAAAAATTTCGTCGCCAATGCTCACTTTCTGCGACCAGAATTATTCTGGTCGCCAAAAGTCCACTTTTCGCGACCAAAAATTTCGTCGCCAATGCTCACTTTCTGCGACCAGAATTATTCTGGTCGCCAAAAGTCCACTTTTCGCGACCAAAAATTTCGTCGCCAATGCTCACTTTCTGCGACCAGAATTATTCTGGTCGCCAAAAGTCCACTTTTCGCGACCAAAAACTTCGTCGCCAATGCTCACTTTCCGCGACTAGAATTATTCTGGTAGCTAAAAGTCTACTTTCTGCGACCAATATTTTCGTCGCAAATGGTTATCTTTCAACGACCAAAATAGATGGTCGCAGAAAGTAGACTTTTAGCGACCAAATTCTTAGTCGCAATAGGATCAATTTTGACAAATTCAAGTCCCTTCCGCGACCAAAGAATGTTGTCGCAAATGATGATTTTCCGCGACCAACTTCACTTTTGGTCTCCAAAAACCTTCTGTGACGGACTTTTGGCAACCAAATTGCGACCAACTTTTTTTGGTCGCTAAAAACTATTAGCGACCAGATTTTACCTTTTTGCGACCAGAAATGTTGGTCACGAAAAGTGTTTTTTCTTCTAGTGACATTTATTAATAATATTTTAAAAAAATTGTCTTGTTTTAACTTTTAGAAACAACCTTTTTGTGGCGACTAGAATTGGTATTCTAATTTTTATTTTTTTTTGTTTTGGTGACGAATTATCACTTTTGAGATGAAAAAAATTTATCCCTAAAATTGTTTTGTATTGTAGTGTGGCGGTAGTGATAGTTTGCTGGTATTAATAAGATTTTATTGTAAAAGTGTATATTTTTTACCAAAATAAATTTATTTTTTATTAATCACAAAAAACTTTTAAAATATAAAAATATTTTTTACCGTAACAAATAGAATGTATAGTTGAGTACAAAATTATGATTATATAATTGAACATATTCTTTTCTTCATATTAGAGTTACAAAAAATTATTATTATTATTATATGTCTCTATTTACTAAAGTCAAACATCTAAAAATCATTATGCTCGACACATTTTATAATATAAAAAAAGGAATGGTTTTCCACTAGCGTCGTATCAGATGGCAGATACTGTGAGGTCCCGTCGGAGGCTTTAAGTTCACGGATCCCTAGAGGCTCATCATGGGTCACGTTTAGATAATCTGAACCGTTCAATGTGTAGAAATCGTCGAGTACTATATATCTCTAAAACATCACGCTGATCGGATATTGATAACTATCTGATCAAATCATATTTTTGTAAGTCGTTTATTTTTCACCGTCCATTTTTTTTATACAAAATTGATTTGATCACATAACTATCGATATCCAATCAACGTGATTTTCTACAAACATATAGTATTTGACGAGTTCTATACATTGAATAATTCAAATTATCGAAACGAGACCCGTGGTGGGCTTCCACAAGCCCAACAGTACCTTCCAGTCCGTGATTGAACTGGAATGAAGCCATTCCCTATAAAAAATATTTATGATAATTTTGACATTAAAATCTCAAGTAATATATTTCCCAATAAATGTATAGAGTAACTTATTAGAAAAATCATATTCAATTTAATTACACAATTTAGTTTTGACAAGCTTGATAGTTGACTTATCATAATTGAAACAAGTAAAATGAGCACAAGACCAATCAAGTTATGAATAAAAGGATAATTTGTCTCAATAAGTAATATCAAATTTTGTGAATTTATTTTTAAAAATGTCATATCGAATATTCTCACAAATAAGATTAGATAAAAAATAAGAGGCGTAAACAAATTAAAACGTGATGTATAAAAAAAAATGCATAAATGACACAAGAATATAAAACAAAAAAAGATAACAAACCATGACAAATATAATAATAGAATAAACTCTGAACATATACACCATATATATAACAAAAAATCACAAATAGCAAACACAAATAATCAATATTTGATAAAACTAAACTACAAAATTATTTTCAAAATTTTGTTATATTATTAATTTGGAGGTGCTAACCTCTATAATTTTGAGAGTCTGAATTTTAATAATTTTAAATTGAAAAAATAAAGAAAGAATAAATCATTGTGTTTGATTTCAATTTCTAGATTTAATTTTTTTAAAAATTAATTTTTTTGTTTTTCATGTTTTTTTAATTTTTAATTTTTCGTGAATATTTTTAAAATTTTAAACAATTTTTTTACTTTTTCAAATGCACATATTTAGATGTATCTAAAAATTAAAATATTTATTAAAAATTATTTTAAAATTTTAATAAATACACTAGAA